CTAAACAGCCTACAGTATTTTTACAGTCTTTATTTTACAGGTAAAATAAATTTTTATCAAATAAAGTTTAATGTTACAACTAATCGTAGATCCCTTTAAGATCCTCCTTTATGCCTTTAAAAGCTTAAACAACTCCACCCACTCTTACCTCTCAGATCTAGTGCATCCACTTGTCCCACAGCGCTCAGATCATCTGGTCAGCTGCTTCTGAAGGTCCCTAACTCTTGACTCAAACTGAGAGGTGACAGATCCTTTTCTGTAGCAGGTCCAAAACTGTGGAATGATCTACCGCTACAGGTCAGACAGTCTCCTTCACTCACTGTCTTCAAGTCTTGCTTAAAAACACACTACTACTGCTTTGCCTTTGAGTCTGAGTGAGATGGTGCAAAACCTCACTGTGTTTCATAACTCTGTTCTACTGTATATGTACTGTAAAAATAAATGATTTGTATTTTGACTGTAATTCTAACTATGCCCTGTTGTCTGTCTACTGTGCAGCACTTTGGTTGGCCTTGTGCTGTTTAAAGTGCTTTATAAATAAAAGTGGCATGGTATGGTACGGTATGAAAAGCAGCAGGTGAAAATCCATTAATTAAATCAAGGAATACTTCAGTTTCTTGCTTTAATGTTCCTCTTCTCTAAGAAATGCCTTCTTAGGTGTGAGTAAATCATAGTGCATGAAATGGAACATTTGCACCTACAATTATTTTCAGAGTAAATTCAGTATATACAAGCATAAAGAGTTATTTTTATGAAATCCCTTTTACAGTAAATACCAGGAGGCATTGCATTAAATAAGTTCTTTAACCTAAACCATATTAGCACGAGGTGACTTTGCGATGCAAGCCTGCACTTTTTTTGGTCGAGTAGCATTTCCTGTTTACCCGTAATGTTTGCAGCGAGAAGATGTTGGTCCATCTTTGCAGACATGCAACATGGTTGCTGAACCGTTTCATTTGCTTTCACCAAAGTAGCGCATTTTGAAAAGTATGAAACGAAATGTAGCAGGAGTGACTGAAGCGTTTGACCTGTTTGTTGTAAATGAAAGTGAAGGAAGGAGCCTTTATTGTGTTTTACTTTAATGTTCACCTAATTTCTTTCTAAAATTTCAGAAAATTAATAGGAGGTTGCACCTGTCCAAAACCAAACACAGCAAGTTCAACGAGTCCGGCCAGCTGGCAGCGTTCTACCTGTTCTCCTTCATCTGGGGCTGCAGCATCCTAACCTCGGTACATGACCCAGGAGACCCAAAAACATGGTCCTGCTCTGCGCTGAGCTCCGCCTCATACTGTGTGCTTTTTGTCTTCTGACAGGAGGACTTTGCAACAAATCCTACTTTCTTATGGGAGGGTTACCCACACGCTCACATGGTGTAAGTATATTTTTATATAGAAAAGGCTCGTATTTTACAGCTGCGTTAATGATTCACCTACAGAGTGTAAGCAAAACATTTACTTTGAAACATCTTTGAAAACACTTTGAGTCAACATGTTTCTAATCTTTTTTTTTAATGAAACAAAAAACAGACTTGAGTTTAGTTTTTTCTTGACTTCTTTTTTTTAATCTGTTCTGTATGATAAGAAACCACTCTGAAAAGCCGCGAGTTGTGTATAAAATATATGAATTTAATGACATTATTCAAACTCTTATCCTCGCATACATTTTTCCCTCTACTTCTTTTTTTCTTCTGTACACTCTGGTCTGTTTAGTTTCCAGGTCAAGTTTTTCTACATTTGCCAAATTGCCTATTGGCTCCACGCACTTCCTGAGCTGTACTTTCAGAAAGTTCGGAAGGTAAGGTGGAGATTTTCTTGGTGGTATTCATGTGAAGGGCAATCGAAACATTCAAGCTTTTAGGTTTCGTGTATGCCGTGTCTTGCTCGCTTACAAATAGAAAGGAATTTATTGAATGTAAGAACCTGCTCCATGAGACTAATACCAGCTTAATCTCATAAAAGTCATGTCCCACAAGATCTTGCAGAAGGAAATCAGGAAATCATGAAATACCCCTCTGGTCATGAATGTGAAAAGAACTTGTGACCTAAACAGATTTCTCAAAAATAAAGTAATTTATTTTAGATATCTGYACAGAATAAACATACAAATATTAATAAAAATTGTTATATGGATAATTGACACAAGTTATAATAACGGCATGAAAAACTCCACTCAGAGTTGACATAAAACAGTAAATTTCAGGTGTAATAATACAACTGGCACACTGCTTACTAAGTTTTAAGTAAACAAGAGAAAAAAGATAAAGGTTTAAGTTTTAAGAATAGGAGGAAAAGAAATTAGTAATTTTAGACTTGTTCTCAACAAGTCAAACCAGACACAGCGCCAACAGCATGTCAGAC